CCCCAGTAATATCATAATTCACATCTGGTGATTTCCTTCAAGTAGCTGGTTTTGTTCCTACTGCTCAGGAGTTGGCCAAAACATAGCCACTATGACTAAGTCTCAGGAATGGAGAGGAGACACAGGCCAGGCAGGAGCGGGCTGGGCTCAGGGGCTCTGGGTTCCTGTCTTGCATCTATTCTCTGCCCTCTGGGCCCCTAAGCAAGTTCCTTCCACTGGGGCGGGGGAATAACACGCCGTCTGATGAGGCAGGCTCTCATCCATCTACTTCCTACATGCTGGATGCCGACTATGTGCCATGTCAGGCACTGAGTAAAGACACTCATGTTTATATAGAAGTGTTTTATAATATATACACTTATATATAACATTAGATAAGTATTTATGTGTACACAATGTATAAAACTGTTAGTGCTAAGTGTCTTAAGAAAAATAAAGCATGTTAAAGAGGTAATGATGGTGGGGAGGTACTTCTTTAAATATGGGGACCAGGAAGCATCTCTCAGGAGTTATGAGCAGAGACCTATATGAAGTCATGAAGTTGGGGGGTAAAGACCTCTGGGGGGTACAGAGGCTGCAATGCCAGATGTTGGAAAGCCAGAGAAGGCTAAGGGGGCTGTGCTTGCTACAATTCAGAACCCTAGGTGGTGAGCATGCATCAAGAGCCTGCACAGAATGCAGCCTAGAGGGGCGGGGCTCAGGTCAGACAGTAGGGCAGACTGAGCATGGTGGTCCCTCAGGCCTCGTCTCCTCCAGGAAGTCTCCTCTACATCCCCCCACCCCCTGGTTGCCCTGGTGCCTTCTCTTGGTGCCATGGCCCCTGAGCTCCCCTTTCTCTCAGGCTAGTGCTGAGTAGGTGGCTGGGAGCAGGTACTTAGCAAACCACTGCACCAGGAGGTGGAGCCAGAAAAACAGCTGGGAGTGGGTTGGGGAGGTTAAATTAGTGAGGGCCCAGATGTCTCATTCCTCCCATTGGTGTGACCACTGGCCTAGTCCAGTATTCTAGATCCTTTCCTCCAGGGTCTGAATGACACACCTTTCATCCACAGAGCCTGGTGCTCAATAGGCCCCATTACAGAGATGTGTCTTAGTCAGCCATGCCCAAATACAACACACAGCGAGCTCTGCGACACTCCTTCTCTTTTGAACCTTGTGCTCATTTCACAGTGCCCGTCACACATAGGGCTGGGAGGGGATGCTCACAGAAAGAAGGCCCAGTATGTATCTTCCATGAGAATGCATCAGTCCTGCTACCCAATCTATGGGGTGGATATATACTACTTTGTGGATGAGAAAATGAAGTCAGAAAGGTGATCTGCCTCAAGGTTAGAGGCAGTAAAACATGCTGCCGGTCCTTGTCTCTTTAACTGCTTGGCATAGGCTACGCACCTACTTGCTGGGTCAGTGATTGAGCCAAGAACCCAAAGCGGTTGGCTAGTCTCCCTTACTCACCATTACCAATACAATGGGTATAGAGAGCTACAACCTATGACTACTTTACACCTCTAGATTATAACAAAAGAGGGTAAGGCAAAAATACATGGTTGGTGGGAATGTGTGGCTTCTTTGAAAAAGTTTGGCCAAAAAAAAAAAAAAGTGACCATAAAACTCAGCAATTCTATTGCTTGGCATATACCCAAGGAAGTTAAACACTTAAGTCCACACTAAACTTGCATGCAAATATTTGTAGCAACATTATTTATAGTAGCCCCAAACTGAAAACCCAAATGTCCTTCAGCTGGTGAATGGATAAAATGTGGTATTATCCACACAGTGGAATACTAAGAATGAAAGAATGAAGTGAAAGCAGCCAGTCACAAAAGGCCACATATTGTGCGAGTTCATTTATATACAATGTCCAGAACTGGCAAATCCAGAGGCACAAAAGTAGATCAGTGACTGCCAGGGGCTGCAAATGGGTTGGGGCGCTTGGGAAGTGACTGCTAATGGGCATGGGGTTTCTTTTGGAGGTAATAAAAACATTCTTGAATTAATGCTAATGGGTGAACTCCATCAATATACTAAAAAACCAAAGGTGAATTATCTCAATAAACCTGTTAGTCAAAAACTAAACTTCTTGGTTGTCTTCTTCAAGCTCCATCCAGCTCACTGACCAGGCCAAGGACAGAAGAATCCGTCTTTGCAGGAACATTTGTCTCCAGCAGCCACTGGAGACAAACCCTGGAACTGGAATGTAGTTCCAGTTCCTCTCCTCTCAAGTGGGTAAGCCGGTTGTATCTTTTCCTCTAACTCACATTGCAATGCTCTGACGCTGTCCTCGTAGCTTTTTTCTCCTAGGCTCACTAGTCTCCTTGGGAAGGGCCCAAAATAGTGGGCTCCACATCAAATCAGATGGCAAACTTCACCAGGACTGAGCATTCCAGATTCCAGTAGAATCTTGAACTTGACTCTGGGAAAAGGAACTCAGATGTATTTACTGGAAGCCTACCACATGCTGGACTCTTACTTAGCCTTCGCCTGCTCTGAAGGGAGTCATCACCACCTACACATCACGCAAGGAGACAGAGGTCCAGTGAGGCTATTCCTGATCCCAGCTGGCAAGCAGCGTAAGTCCCTGTTCTTGCCAGTCCACAGTTACTCACCTGCTGTCCTGATTTCTCCATGCTTTGGGTCTCTCATCAGCAGAGGGGTGCACAATCACAGCCACTAGACAGTGTGGAGGTACCAGAAGCACCTTGCTTTTAACAAATTCTGGTTCCTAGCAGAACATGTCTTCTGCTGGCCCCAGACAAGAGAAAGATGGGCTGTGTGCTCTTTTTCCTATTCCTTATCCAACCACAATGACCTGGCTTGGCCAGAGCAAGGGGGTCTCTCCTGGCATGGACACTACCACCTCAGCCCACTGAGTTGTTCTGCCCTTCTCTGAAAGAGCCCAAGCTTCCCCAGAACTTGTGTTCGCAGAGACCCAGCTCATCTGTACAGTAAGAACTCCTCAGGGGTAAAACCAGTAGACCTGCAAGACTGGGGTCGAGAGGGCCTTTGAGCTGTCTGACAAGGTTACCCATGTTTGCCTAGGCCCTGGACCCCTCAGAAGAGTAGAGCAGGCTTGGTCTGTATCCCTGACTGCCCCCCAAGTACTACTGGCACCATTTCAGACAGCTTCCTTCACTTCTTGGTGCCTGTTTCTCATGGGTGACATGGGAAGACCAGCTGAGGACCACAAGGCAGTTTTCTCCAGCATGGGAACAGAGGCAGAGTGTCCACACACCAACTGGGGCTACAGTGCTATGCCATGGGCTTGTTTCTTCACCCTCCCAAGCGGTGGCAACAAAACCACAACACACATTTTTAAATCACATATGGCTTCTCTGACCCCATCAAATAACTTTATTCACACAAACGTCCCTTAATTTACAAAGCCTCAGTCATTCATACACATTAGGGGGATCCACAGTGTTCAAGGAACTTAAATATAATGTATCATACCAACCCAAATAAACCAAGTACAAAAAATATTCATATAAAGTTGTTCACACGTAGGTCCTAGATTACCAGCTTCTGTGCAAAAAAGAAAATAAAGAAAAATAGATTTATTAAACTAGTATTTGAAACTAACCTTGTGCCTGGCTTTAAAACTTCCCTCACAACCAAGTGTGTCCTACGTGGATGTTAAGAAGCCACTGAAATATCTTCACCTGCTCTAATGGCAAGAACCCTCGAGGCACAAGATTTAAAATGCCCCTAAATAGGTTCCCTTCCTCCTGTGGCCTCACCTTGGGGAAAAAACATGTGGGGGCCTCCTGCTGGTACCTCTGCAATCCTAGGGGGCCCTGGGGCATCCCTTGATGGTGGCTGTAGATGCCAAAGTAGCCCAATCCTATGTGGTACCTCCTGGTTCCTCCAAGAGCATGTCTCCAGGCAGAAGCCCCTGCCCTCAAAGCCTAGGTAGGGCAGGGTCTTGACTACAGCTCAGCAGGGGAAGACACAGAGGCAGTACCTCTGGGCTTCAGCTTCCAAACTGCTGGCCTGGAGAGATGCGTAAGGAAGCTTGGCCGTTCAGAGGTTGCCAGACCTCAGCCTCCCATCAGCTATGTCTGGGGCTGCCAGACAGGTCTGGGAAGAAACTAGTCAAAGGGAGGGATAAACGACAGACCCACCTAGAGCAAGAGCCACCAGCGTCCCAGATGGGAGGAGGGGCATATGACCAGAATGGATGGGAGGTGCTCTTGGGGCAGGGCGGTAAGGGGCAATGGGGAGCAAGGCAAGGGCAGTTAGGGTTCCCTCCTTGGGGATGGCAGACTGACTCTTGCTTTTCCAAGTTTCCAAAAGATACCCCAAGGTTAAACATTCTTTTAAGTTCTATTTTCTAAAATGGTAAACAGCCAACAGCCTAAGAAGAGTCCCACGATGCCAGCTTTTCTCCTTTTCTTAGAAAAAGATTCAAGCCCAAAAATAATCTTATTGCTCCAAACACTGGGTTTCTAGGATAGGAGACAAGTGATATGTTAAGGAGCTGAGAATTATGGAGGAAGGGAATGACGGAGGTGGGGAATGTCCGGGGGCAAGAAGGCCATGAGGAAGGTAGGGAGTGGTCTTAGCACCACAGGGTCAGGGAGCAGAGGAAGTGAAAGGCCCCCACCCTACCCCAGGCTTCTCTGCCTTCATTTGCTCTGGGGCCACCACCGGCAGTGCCATTAGGGAGGCCAGGCCCTGTCCAGAGTGAAATCTCCACCCACTGTGGATGTTTTTTCTCCAGCTGTAAACAGGGTACTTCTAAGTAAACATTTAACACACTCCCTCAGAAAGGCAGCCATGTGGGCAAACCCCATCGGGGTGGGACGATAGTTTCCATTACCTTTCCAAATGCCCCTGGGGTGAGATGGAGCCAGCAGAAGGAATCCTCCTGGCTAGAGGTAAGAGCAGGGAGAGACCTGCTAGAGGGACACGAGGCAGTGTGCACCTGTGAGCAGCAAATTCCCTTGTCCTGAGCTAAAGCCGCTTGTGAGGGCCCAGGAGGTCAGTGGGAAATACTTGGCTACAGCTCACAGGAAGGGGATGTGGGGGTGGGGGGAAGGGTTGAGGGTCTTTCTTCCCCTGTGACAATCTGCAGGTGGCAAAGTGTGAGTGCAAGTGACAGATGGACACAGAGGGGAGAAGACAGCCATGCACTTCCAGCTGAGCCAGGAGGTCTGGCCAGGGAAGACAGTGGAATAAGGCACTATAATCTGTCCTGCTGACTCCTCTCACTGATGGGGATCTGAACTTGGACCTAGGAAGGCTGAGAGCAGGATGGTCCCTCAACAGCCTATCCTTTCTACAAGTTGAAGAGATCCACTGCAGACTGCAGTCCTACGGTCTGGAAAGTCCCAGAACTTGGACAGGTCTAACAAACTTGGGATAACTGAATTGATGCCCCACAGAGCTGGCAAGCCTGAGACCTGAGCAGAGGCAGGAAGAGGTAACAGAAGGAAGGAGCTGATGCTGGTAGGGGACAGGGAGAATGGCTCTGCAGAGACTGCAGGGGCCACCTGGGGCTGTCCCACTGACCACAGCAGAGCCGGCCAGCTTCCACCTGGCTGGTGGGGTGCCTGTGGAGGACAAAAACAGACAGCAAAGGGAAGGAAGGGACAGAAGGAAGAAAGAAGGGGCAGGGAAAGGCACTTGGGGCTCAAGGGCTGTCTCTCATTTGAGCTATGGTAGAAGACCCTACCACCAAGCCATAACTGGCTGGGAGTCGTGGAAGATAGGATGCAGGGAAGCAAGTTACCCACCTGTGACCTACAGGGGATACTCCGACACAGTACGGAGGGGAAGCACCACAGCCCCAAGACCTTACTTAGACAAGAGACTGGAGCGAGGAGAAAACAATAGGCCTGTGCACTCTCCAGGTATTTCAGAGCATGGCTACAACCAGGGAGAATTGGGGGCACTGAGTCCAGGGACTGTTTTTCCCACTTGCTTATATATGCAGAAACAGAAGCCTGGGAAGGCAGGGTGGTGGGGCAGAGAAGGAATGTGCTCTGCAACCAGGGTTGACGCTTTCCCCACCTTCCCAGCTGTCACTCAGAGTACACTCGGAAGGCTGCTTAAGAAGTCAGAGGTGGGTGATCAAAATGGGTTTCAGTCCAGGAAGGGAAAAAAGACAGGTCTGGTTGCCACCAGTAGCCCTGTGGGATCTTATGAACAGCAGCCAGCCATCTGCTAAGAGGAGGAAGAAACTTTGCAAAAGCTGAGGGACTTAGGACAAGACTGGATGAATGTGAGCAGACATGTGGCCAAGTGGGGCTAGGTGTTGTGCTGGTCTGTCCCACACTGCAGGGCCATGGGACTGCTGCTTGTCTGGGAAAACTACACACCCCACTTGGTCACACACTAACTGAAATGCCCTCCAACTATCTCCCCACCAGTCCTATGCTGTTTTAAGAAAAACAAAAAAAAAAAAACAAGAGCAAATGACTCCCTTTCCCCTTCCCCAGAGGCCTCATCCCATTTGGCTCTAACAGGTGAAGAGCCTGGAAAAACTTTGGGATAGCCAAAGGTGTGTCCAGACAAGAGTGCAACATGGGAGAGAAGGGCCTGGTGGGCTCTGAACAGCAGCCTGGAAGGAAGGGGCCTTTCTTGGAGGCCGCAAGAGCATCCTCGGGGAGGGTGGCTATGTGGATGGCGGTGGGGGGTCACAGTTGGGGTGCTTAAGGTGGCAAGCCCCTAAATGGGCTGACACCTCCCTATTCAGGAAAGGCCCATTCTCTTCCCATCAGACATATTTATGCAGAGCGCAGGCACCTAACATGAAGTCCCTGGAAATGAGGGAGATGGCGCTTGACAGTGTGTGTCACTAGATGTGACACAGTGGACCCCAGCACCCAGTTCAGAACACCCTGTTATTATGGCAATAGTCATAATTGGACCTTAGGGCCCAGGCAGACTCTCTGACAGCCTGGACACTTGCAGCACACCTGGGAAGACTATGATCCAGGAGGCAGCAGGTGAGAGGTGCTAACCTCACAGTAGGGATGGTGTCTGTGGGAAGACCCACTATGTCTTGGGCAGAGGTTTGGCACAACAGTCCTAACAGATGGTAGGCCAGTGGAGCTGGGGTGGGAGGCTGTCTATCGCAGCAGTGGGGATGGTCACCCCTGGCCTCCTCCCTGGGAGCTCACAGTTATAAAGGGCAGACATGGAACCAATCCCAACCACTGTGAATCTTGGTGTGGCCTGGGGCTCCCAACATCTTTAAAAGGACTAAACTTGCAGGTTAGGTCTCCTTTCTGGAGTTCTCCTGGCCAAGCCCTGGTCTTCCTCTTCCAGGTGGCTCTTCACCTGTGGTCCTGTATGAAGCCCAGGGGTGGCTGGCCAGGACCATCCCACCAAGGAGTCCAGCAGTCCCGAATCTGGTGGGGGAGTTGGCCCAGAGGCCTCCTTTGTCTTCATGTCCCATTCCAGGAGAAACCCTGAACTCTTTCTGGGGAGACGGGCCTTCTCCAGGAAGTAAGATACAACAAGAAGAACTGAGAGACATGTAAAGAAAGAAAACAGAGGGAAAACAAAGGACAAAACTGAAATCGCTCCCTAACCCCTTACACAAATCAACAATGAAATTTACACATATGCTTTGTCCACATTGAATTTCTTTAAAGAAATGGTGTTTGTCCATAGCATAGCTTTCTGTTTTTCTGAAGTCTCGATGGTTTAAATTAAAAAAAAAAAAAGAGGAAAAAAACCCAAAAACAAAAGCTCAACTAAAAGGAGGGGAAACCCAAACAAAAGCTTCACATTGCCGGAGGTCCAGCTGTCGGGAGATCGCCACCAGCCAAGCCACCACCTGTACCCTCTGCCGTCCTGTCCGAGACATGATGAGACTGTGGGTCCCGAAGGATCGACCTGGAAGACAGAAGGCAAGCAAGGGGTGGACATTGAATCAGTGGGTGTGGGGCACCAGCACCCAACCCAGACCAACTCTGAAACCTGTGTGTGTGCTGAGAGATGAGTCCTCTAAATACTCCATATGGAGTAAATTGTCACAACTACCCTGCTGTCTATAGATACAGATTCTTATTTCTTGGGCAAGGAAACCCAAGTGTCCAAGGTCAGAACGATAAGAGTAGAAGGAATGGAGGCTTGCTGCCTCCGGCTACTGATCCAATCATTAATCCATGCCTCATTCCTTCCCCAGTACCATTAAGAGATGAACTCCATAGGACCCATTCTGGATGGGCCTATCCTGCCAGCCCTGGTTCCACTGAGCCTTTCCACCCATCCCTCATGACTAAGTGTCTGTCGTAAGCTTAAGAGCCGCCATCTTAAGCTTTTGCTGTCTCATTTTAGATGTGAGAAAAATGAGGCTCAGCCTCTGAGAAACAATTAGGCTACCCACCAGGGTCTGTAAAGGAACCAGAGTTCCACCAAGGTCAGAGGTAGATCACAGGTTTCCCAGAGTCTACCGCTTGGCCGCATTCGGCCTGCTGCAGCATACTGCTGGAGTTAAGGTTGAAGGCTCTATAGCCAGAACTATGGCTCAGTGAACAGGCTCTGCCACTTGATTTGGGGCTAATTTACATCCTCTGTTCCTTGGTCTTGTCATCCACACCTACATCACATGCTATTATGAGGATTACATAAATAGTCATGCATAGCTTAATGACAGGATGGTGTAAGAAATGCATTGTGGTTCTAATGTCTGAGCATACTTAACCAAGATGGCTACAATGTCACAAGGTGATATAATGGGACCACCAATGTACATGTGGTCCGTCATGGACCGAGCCATCATTTTGCAGTATGTGACTGAGCACAGAAAACTGAGAAGAGTACCTGACCCTGTTAGAGTTGGCTGTTACATGGGAATCACCTTGGTGTCAGGCCTCAGGAAAAAGATGAGAGGGGTCTCTCAAGGACTTCGGCAGCCACATAGTAATCAGAACTAAGTATAGCCTGTACTCAGACAGCAATGCTCCATTCTCCCTGCACTAATCATCTAAGTTTTTAAAGTGCCTGGTTTTACTCTGAATGAGTCAGATGAGTCTTCTCCTGTGTGTATATAAACCCCAGTGGCTTCCTTGCTTGGTGGGCAGACCCACCTTGCTCTTTGTAGCTGAGGCGTGCCCTCACAGCCCTGAGCCCTCATAACTTGATGCTGGGGGAGCCTGACAACACTGGCCCACCATCCTCAGTGCCCAGAGGAGCCTGGCTAGTCCTCAGAAAAAGGAGGGTTGTGGGGTGATATGGCACAATTTCCTGCCTGTCTTTTCCTCTGTAAACTGAGAGCCCTTTTTTGAGCTGTGTGTGGAATAATGACTGAAGTACTGGGCCTACAGCAGGTATAAACATATTTGATGAGCCCACCCCTCTTTGTCCATTATCCCTAGAGACTCTGAAGGTGCTAGATTCAAGGCTACAACCTTAGAGCAATCACAACCTCTTCTGACTAAGGGTACTACAGGGAGGTCATTTCCCACAGTGCTGGAGGAGTATGAACAGCCTTCTGGAAGGCAGCCTGGCAGTGTGCTTTCAGTACTTTTAAATGTGCCTAGACACCATTCCTAGAAGTCCAGCTTCACTGAGAACCCAAAATATGGAAAGGACTTTTGAATAAAGATGCTCATTGCCTTAAATTACGAGACAATAACTCACAAGTCCAAAAATAAGAGATTATTGAGCAAATAATCCAGCAACTCAGTGATATATTACACAGGAAATGAGGGATGTGTGGTGTTTAAACATTAACCAGGAGCCCGTCTCTGGGTCAAGTGGACAGCAGCAAGTTACAAACCTGTATGGCATGAAGCTGGAACATGGTTTGTTTCACCAGCTCAGGCTGGAGTTTAAGCCCTGACTATGGTGTTTGGCTGGGTGAGGCCTTTGGGACGTGCTCAGGATTAGATAAAGAATTAGGATGGTGTTCCCATGACTGAATTCTGTTAGCTTTGTAAAGGTTCCAGTCTCTTGCCAAATGCTATCCTATGCCACCACAAAACTCTGCCAGCAGGAAAGGCCATCACCAGATGTGGACCTCTGACTTGGGACCAGAATCATGAGCCAAAAAACCCTCTTTTCTTTATAATTGGCCCAGTTTGTGGCAGAAAACAGACTAATATTTTGTGACTATGCAAACCCCCCTTCACAGCTGTAGGAAAATCTGGCAAGAAATACAGTAAAATTTCCTCTTCCCCCACCTGACTTTTAATATTGCACACACGTCACATTGTAGTACTTGACTTTTTAATGGGGAAAACAATAAACTTTAATGAACAAGAAAAACGGGCAGTTGCAACTGAAAGGTCCAGACGCAGGCTGTCATCTGGGCTCTTCTACACAGTGGCCAGTAAATTTTCCACACCTGTCAAACAAGGCTGATGTGACTCCTGCTCCACTGCCCAGGGTAGGGAACCTAGTGCTTACATTTGAAGTAGGGGTGGCTGACATGCCCTCAAGAAGTATGGATCTGGAAAGGATGCACAGATTTCTCAGGCCCAGCCTTCCAATCTGTGCTGCTGTTCCTTTGCCCACTTACTCCCCTCAACAAAAATTCCTTTGTGGTCTTGGTCCCAGTTTCTGACCCGGGGAGGTAAATTGTAATGCACACACACTCCCTAATGATTTGGCAGTCAGTACTACCTCTAGGGAGGTGGAGTCAGGAGGATCAAGAGTTTGAAGCTATCTTTGTCAAGGTATCCTTGACAAAAAACCCTGTTTCAAACACAAAATACAAATCAAAGATTCAAAATCAGCATACTACACAAATAATGACATACACCTATATTCTTTATAGCAATGCTCACAATAGCCAAATTACAGAATCAGACTAGGTTCCTGTCTGATTCTATATATAGAAAATGTGTTCATATATATACCCAATGGAGTTTCAGCCATTAAGAAGAATGAAATAAGCCAGTCCCATAAAGACAAGTGTCACATCTCATTTGGGGAAAGTTGGGGAAAAACAAAAATAAGGTCATGAAAATACAGGAGTAACTATTAGGTGAAAGGGAAAAGGGGCAAAGGGATAAGAGCAATGGGGAGGCAAACATGATCATAAGTACATTGCATGTATGTACGAAAATGTCATAATGAAACCCCTTACTATGTATAATTAATATACCAGTAAAAAATACAAAAGGGTTGGGGATATAGAGGTCCTGAGTTCAATCCCTAGTACATTAAAAAAAAAAAAAAAAAAAAAAAAAAGGAAGAAAAAGCTCACTGGAGACAGAAGAGGTCCTTTCTACAGGCTGAACAAAATAGCAAGGATCACACAAGTCTAGGCTAAAGCAGTCAACCCTCCTTGACACTTGTTGATACCATAAATGGAACAGTGTACCAGCCTCAGTGGGACCTCTCATGCTTTTTCATCCTAGCAGATAACAAATCCTGCCTCCTTGGCTGTCTAGGGTGTGGCTGGAGTGCCTGGTTTCCAGGCTCAGCCAGGAGTGGAGGTGGCCTTGCCCTGCTTAGTGGAACCCCTACTGCTGATCAGAGCCCTCTGGAAAGGCAAAAAGCCAAGAGAAATGGAGGAGCTGGGACCACATTACAGAGCTGCTGGGTAGTGGGCCCAGTACTTAATCTGAACTTCTCCAGCTTCACTGCCCAAAGCCTTCCCACTAGGATAGGCTTCACTGTGTACTTCAAAGCTGGGACAGCCACTGGTCCTAGAAACATTCAATTGAGATGTTCTGAGGGGGGAAGGTTTGTTGGCAAACCCTCAAGCTCTGGGACTGAGTTCCCTCAGTTTCATGATAGTTATTTTCTGTAACTATCATGAAATCAGGTACTGAACACTTCATCCATTGTGCCAGGCAAGGTCCAAGCACTGTATAGAAGAGCCCAGCAAGGCAACTTTCAACCCTTGTATGCTGCTTTCCGCTGTATCTCAAAAGGGACCACATAATGAAAGTTCTTGTCACTCCAGTCTTGGAGACAAGGAAGCTGAGGCCCAGTGGGTAAGAGGTAGAGAAAAGGGTTTTAACCCAGGTCAGTCTCCCTCCAAAGCACCTCCCTGCTTTTAACATGCAAGTTTGTAATGTAAAATCCCTTCTTAGAGAGACAAGAAAGCTTAAACCCACTTTAAGCCCTAGGTTTATAAACAGAATCTCTCAGAAGAAAAGGACTTGTAGAAGGCTTGGCTTAGATGCCTCCTGCACAGGTCTGGTGCCCAGGGCACAAGACGGAATGTGGTGCCAACTAGACAGTGAGCAGCATTCTAGCAAGCTGGCCAGCTGTCTGGTCTGTCCAAGGAATCAGGAGAACCAAATGTTCCCATTGGGCCATTAACAGCTTGGTGCACAGAAGCTAGAAAGCTGAGGTGAGCAAGCGACAGGAAGATGGAGCTGGGGACAGATCAGGCTCAAGTCCATCTCTTGTCTCTACTCCTCAACCTACAGACATGAAACATCTCAGTGAGCAAAGGATTACCCTACTCTTACAGGATTGCCTTTCTCCTTCAATGTCAAAGTGTCATTTCCTTAAATAGATGGTAAAAAATAAGTAGGAATGTTCAAAAACTAGCTCCATCTCCTGGACCCCAGTTTTACAAAGTGCATAAGCCTGGTAACCACAGTATTTAAAAATCTATGCAACAACCACATCTGACACGCAATCCCCACTCTGGTTCTCCATCAGGGAAACAGCAAGGCTTTGTAGCAGACACTAGAGGGTTCAAATCTAAGCTCTGCCACTTACTAGCCACTTCATAAGCTGAGCCCCCCTTTCTCTACTAAAAAATGTAGATGGTGCTATTTGCCCTTTGGGGTTAAGTAAACTGTCTATTTCACCACCTGGCCCAGAGTGGGTCTCAATCAGAGCTGCCTTACTGTGATCTGTGCTCACGGTCATTCTGGTTCTCAGATGTCACAGAATGGACTATCTAGGCCTTATCTGGAGTCAAA